CCCCCCGGAGCCTTGGGCAGCCCCTGCCCCTCTGAGCCCCACAACAAGGTGGGGGTCCCTGCTTTGGGGAGGGTGGATCAGGATGGGGCGGTAGAGGCTGTGGTTGGACCCTATTCCCTCCCGTCCTCTCCTGTGTGCACCCCTGTCCCATCTCTCCTCCCGGGATCCCACGCTCGGGGATGGGCACTGGTTCCCACAGCCCTGGGGCCGTCTCTACCCACCACGACCGGGTCCGTGCCAGCCTGGCGCCCTCCCAGGCACCCAGCTCCTTGCACCCACCCACTCACTCAGCGTCCTCAGCAGCCACTTGCCCAGGGTGTCCTCGGAGCTGCTTGGGGACGAGTTGGCCACTGCGTCCTGGCCTGGGCTCTCCGGCGCCATGGGGACGCTACAGCCCTCACTGTCTGCAAGGGCGCAGGTAAGAGTCGCGGGGCCCTGCCACCCACCAGCCTCCCTCTCTGGAGACCTCCCCAGGTACCGTGCACCCCTCTGCCTTGGCCCCTGGTCTGGCTCCCGCCCCGCGGACTCACTCTGCTCCTCCTTCACCAGCTCCTCCTGGATGAAGGGGACCACAGCTGGCCGCAGGGACGCAGGGTCGCTGGGGCTCCAGGGCCCATCGGGCTGAACGCCTGCAGGGAGATGCCCATGGGGGTGGGGGCTGGCAGGGCCAGGGGCAAGAGGGGAGCAGGGGCCAAGCAAGCGTGAGCAGGTGGCTCCCACATGCAGGGGCCACAGCGTGGGCATGCGACGGCTCCATGGTCTGAGTGCGAGCGTGTCCCAGTGGGGCCGTGCTGGGGCTGCCAACGGGTCGCGGGGCCAGTGGTCATCCCCGGGCTGGAGCCGAGCGTGGCTGTTCAGTGTGGGCTGAGTTGGGGCAAGTGTCTTGTGTGGCTCCAAGGTTGGACACAGGGTTTGTGTGGTCTGGTTTGGACATGGCTGGTCCTGCCTTGGGCCGGGCTGGGACTGGATGTGCCCCCCGGGGGTCCCTTCCTGCTCCAGGATCGACTTACCCATGACGCTGCCCCGCTCCGGCAGCAGGGTGGTGCTGTCGTCCCAGGGGGGCTGCGGGGTCCCACGGACCGTCGGGGCCTTGGTGGAGTCCCCGTCGTTGAAGGCCTCTGTGTTGGGGGTGTGGGGGGAGCTGTCCATGCGGCTGGCGGCCAGCGCGTTCTGGTACTGCTGTTGCGTGACCTGGTGCAGCGGGCACAGGCGAGTCGCTTGGCACCGCAGGGCCCAGGCACCCCCCTTCTCCTCCCCCCATGCCCTGGGGCTACCGGGATGTGACCTAACCCCCCCACACCAGGGTCTGCCTGGAGCTGAGCTCTGGGGGCCACAACACAAAAACCCAGGGCGTCTCACCCCGATCTAGCTCTGGGGGGGCCCCAGTGCTGCCCAGCTCGGGAGTGACGGGTGCGGGTGGCGTGGGGCAGAGCCGGGCACAGGCGGTGACCATGGTGTGGCAGGTACCTTGACAAACTGGATGTCGCAGAAGATGTGGACAGAGTAGTCTGGGGCGTAGACACTGTTGCTGCCGCTGTGCAGCAGCGTGGGGCCGCTCCCGGCTCGGGGCCTCGGCCCGGTTCAGCCCGCTGCAGCGAGACGGCGAGCGGTTCACTGGGGTGCGGGGAAAGGGAGCGAGAGCCCCAGTCACTGCCTGCCCCACGGCTGGCCCCTTGCTCGCCCCAGCACCAGCCCACGGACACCCCTTCCCAGTATGCACGGGGAGCAGGGCAGGGCCTGGACCCTGTGCTCCGGGGCGAGGAGGGAGCTGAGGCTCTGCTTGGATGTGGAGGCAGGGTCAATGTTGAGGTCGGGCTGGGGCAGGGACAAGGGCACCGCAAGCAGCAGGGCTGCGACTTGGCTTCGCTTCCCCACGCTTGGCGTGAAGGAGCCCGATGGGTCATGCCCTGCTCCCTGCAGGAAGGCACCGGAGCCTCCCTGCAGCCCCCCACCGGCCCTGGCCCCGGCCGCGCAGTCACCTGGGGACCCAGCCAGCGACGCCTCTGCCGAAGGCGAAGTTGCAGGACACGGAGATGGGCACTGCAGAGAGCGGGAGGGGAGGGGAGCGCCCGGGCAGGCGTGAAACCCATTGGCCCCAGCACCTGGCTCGGCAGGGAGCAGCCTGGGGCTGGCACAGCAGCCCCTGCGCCCCGGGGCCTGGGCTGCCAGGGACAGACAGGCGGGTGCACTTGCTCTCTTGCACCAAAGAACCGTGGAGGGGCTGTGCAAGGCCTGGGGCCACGGGCCTGGCGTGGGAGCTGCCTGCTTGTGGCCTGGGATGCCCATCCTGTGGCCCTGGGGACCCCAGCACCCGGAGCCCTGCCCATGCCCTGCAGATGCCTTCTCCCTGCCAAGGGCACCGAGCTGCGGCCGAGGCTGCCCCCTCGCTGGCTTCAGGCTCGCGCTGCTGCAATGCAAAGCACCGGGGCCAAACTGGCCCATATCCGCTTGGAATCCCCATTGCCCCACGAATGACACTGCTTTGCTTTAAGCCCCAGGCTCACGCCAGGCAGGAATCTCTGGAGGTCTCTTCAGCCCCATCGCTCTGGTTCTCCAGGGTTAGGGACTGTATGTGCACTGGTAGCTTATTCAGTTAGTCTGCCAGGTGCATCTCTACCCTGGCTAACTCAGCTAATGACCTCTCTGCTCATGGTGCATCTACGCCGGGGGGATGTGGCTACTTCGGGCAGCAAGTGCCCGGGGCTGGCACGACTGCGTGCGGGGAGCGTGGGCAGCCCCAGCCTGGGGTCTGGCTGCCCCAGCACAGGGTGGCAGAGGCTGAGAGCAAAGCCCGGGGCTGGAGCTGATGGCTGCCCCAGTCACGGCCCTGTTCCTCTGCCCAGGGACCCAGGGCAGGGAGAGGAGCCCCCATTAGCATGCGGGGCCCCAGGCCCCTCCTCCCCGCATGCATCAGGTCCAAGGCAGCCCCGCGTACTTACGCAGGAAGGCGGATCCGCCCAGGCTGCTTCCCTTGCGCATGTCGCTGTCTGCAAGCAGAGGCGGGAAGGAGCGTGAGTCTCCCAGCTGGCACAGCAGCCCCTGGGGCTGGGGTCACGTTGCCCCTGCGCCCCCGGCGTGGGCCTGGCTGGTGCCACCCGTACCTGAAGACAGGGAGGTCATGATGGCTGGGACCCCATAGTAGGTGAAGGCGCCATTCTCGAACCGCAACCCCTCCTTGCCGATCTCCACCTCCACCTTGCCCTATGCGGGGGAGATGGGCTCAGACTAGCGGCCCCTGGCCCTGTTCCCAGCCCCCCACCCCTGGCCAGGGGCCCTGAGGCAGAGGGTGTCTGTGCAGCACCTTGAGCCCGCTCTTCAGGAGTCCCGTGTGCGGGGCTGTGCTGAGGGGCCTGGAAGAGGGAGCTCAGGGCTGGGCTGACACAGGGGCTGCAGGCTAGGAGTGGGGGTCACTGGCAGGGCTGGGCAGGGCAAGGGCAGGGCTTGGTGGGCAGGGGGCTGCGGGTCGGGAGTGGGATGCGAGCAGCGGTGGGCCCAGAATCAGCAACCCCATGCATGCATGTGCATGTGCTTGTGCATGTGGTGGGGGTGGGGTCCAGCTATGACCAGTGGGTGCCACTGCCCCTTCAGATCTGCACACAGTTAACACCCATTTTCTCCTTGTGCTGCACAGACTCTGACTCTGATGCCCTGGCAGCTGTGTGGGAACTGGGCCCATTTCACAGACAGGAAACTGAGGCATGGAACAACAGCTCTGGGGATGCACATAGAGACTGCAGCAGAGCACAGGAGGGGCCGGCTCCACGTCCTGCCCACTGGGACGCACTGCCGTTCCCAAGGAACCCGACCCCCCTGGGCTGGATCCCCGAGCAGGGGGCACCCGATGCACCTGCAGAATGAGGATGAAGTAGTCGACAGGCCGGTGGCACGGGTAGAGGCAGTGCTCTGCCGCCCGCCGGTTCTTCTGGTCAAACTTCAGCTCCTAGATGACGTTGGGGTGCTTCAGAAGCCACAGCAGGATCTTCTCCGAGAGGCAGGGTGTCTTGAAGGGCTCAATTTCTGTGGGGGGGAAGCACGTGTGCCCCGCTGGGATGGGGCGGTGGCTCCACCGCGGTGGCTGATGTGGGGCAAGGGAGGGGGGTCCTAGAAATCTTAGAGCCCTGGGGCTGGCAGAGAGCTGTGGGGGCACATCCCGGCCTGAGGCAGGATCAGCCCCGTCCAAACCAGCCCAGACCAACCCCACGTCCAACCGGTGTCGGGGCTGGCGCACCGGTACCTGTTGCCATGAACTGGTGCGTGGCCAGCAGAAGCTGCGGAGAGATCTTCACCTTCATCTCGCTGTCCGAGAGCCGGAAGATGGAGAAATCGTGGGGCTTCCTCCCGTGGTACGGCACCCACTCCTTCCGCTGGTTGTCGGCTGCGGGGACGGAGGGCGGTGGGGTCGGGCTGGGCAGGATGTGGCCCCACGTGGCTGCTGTCCCTGTCTCGTGGGCGTCTCCTGGGAAGTCTGGGATGGGGAGACCTGCCCTGGGCCCGACCTCCTGCCGCCACCCTGGGACAGTCCCTGCCAGCTGGTTTCCGGGCACTTCACCCAATCTGGGCTCAAGGGAGCTGAGTCCTGGCGTGCCCGGCCCTGCGGGTTCGTGCTCCGAGCGCAGGCAGCGTCTGTCTGCACACCCACAGCCCATGGCTCCTTCATTGCAGGGCCATGCATTACGTGAGACGCAAGGGCCCTGGGAGACGCTGGGACCCAGGGGGTCTCGGCACCCCCTTCTTCCATGGAGCGCGTGCCCCGCGCTGCACAAGACACCCCGGGGAGCAGGGACGGGACAGGGGAACCCCCCTCCCAGCGGCTCAGGCCATACCTATCCCTGCCTTGGCCCGTCTGTCCGGCCGCGCTCACAACCGCGACACTGACTGTACAGGTCTGTCTCATCCAGGATCTCGGACTTAATGATCTCCTCGATGACGTCCTCCAGCGTGATGATGCCCATCACCTCGTAGAATGGGTCCCCCTCACCCTCGTTGTTCACCCGCTGCACGATGGCCAGGTGCGATTTACCTGTTGGGAGGGAGCGCAGCAGGTGTGAGATGCCCCTGCCAGGTGGGACGGGTCTTTGGGTTCGTCCTGGTGCCGCCTCGGCCCACGCCACCCACATAAGGATACCTGGGGCCAAGGGAGCCAAAATGCCTTCCCCGCCCCTGGGCTCCCTGTGCTGGGAAATACCCATCGAGCAGCCCAGCTCCACGGCCGGCACGGGGCTCCTGCCCAGCCTGCTCTCACAGCCACTGCGCCGATGGCAGGACAACCGGAGGGGGCAGAGCCCCCAGACATCAGCCGTGGGGTCTGCCTGCTTCTTGCCTGACCCCAGACCTGCTACAGGATGGCTGGGACCACAGGGGCCATCCCCCTTCCTTCCCCAGGGTGCAGAAGGAAGAGGCGTGGGTTGGCAGAGGGTCTGCAAAGCACTGGGCATCGGGCTCTCATCGGGCAGGTGTGGCTGCAGCGCTGTGTGCGGGGACCGAGGCCGTGCCCCCTCCCTGGTCTGCAGCACCACCTGCACGGGCCCCTGGGCATGGGGGACTCGCCAGGGACCTGTAGGCAGCCTGGCCTGGCCAGCCCAGTCCCCTGGGCATGCCAACTGGTGTGGGCCCACGCAGCAGGCAGGGAGGCTGCGTGGTGCCCGGGGAAAGCTCTGTGGCTCCAGCTGAGAAGCCTCCGTGGTCTCGGCTGTGGCAGGTGCAAGCACCAGCAGCTTCCCTGTGTCCCGCTAGCCCACGGGAAGGGCATCCCTGGGCCACACAGGATAACACGTGGGAAGCAGCAGCCTGCTTATGTATGGGGCACGGTCCCCCACCCCGCTAACAACATGACATAGGCTATGGTGGAAAAGTGGACGGCGGTGGCCTGCGAGACCCCTGCCGTTACCCTGTGGGCATGATGAGTCGGGACCACTTGGCCCTGCTCCTCGGGCCGGGTCCCTCAGCCAGCGCTTGGAGCGGGATGGCATTTTGCCCCTCGCCCCGTGGCAGCTTCGTGGCTTTTCTTGCTGCCGGGGCAGGAGTTTGCCAACAGCGTTTCGAAGGTTGAGAGCCAGACGATGAATTGGTTCTGGCTCCGCTGCCCAGTCAGACGGGAGAATCCCAACGAGAGACAGTCCTTCCACGGCCCGGGCCCGTTCCCACAGGACGCCCCGCGCCTCCTACTCCTCGCTCTCCTGGCTGGCCGCCTTTCCGTGCACGGCCCCAGAGCCCTTTCTCACCAGAGGCAACCGTGTGCTTCCCTCCCAGCAGATGCACGTTTTTGCAAGCTCAGCCACTTCATCTCGCAGCCCCGGCAGGGCTCCTGCATGGACCCGCCGGGCTCAGGGATTTCCTGCTTTTTAAATTACCGGCTTGTCCCTGCACTGCTTCTCCTGACACCTCTGCCTCCGCGCGCACCTCTCCTGGCAGCCGGACCCCCCCGCTCTGAAATGCCGACTCAGGCAAAGCAATCAGGCAGAGTTTCTCCTTCCTGAGCTGCCCCCAGTGACCCAGGCTCTGTGCTTTCGCAGGCTTCCTGCGTCTGAAGTTCCTCCAGAAATCTGCTTTCATGCCTTCGGCTTCTTCCCTGCCAAAATCCATCCTGGGCTCCCAGCCTCTTTCTTCCTTGCTGCTTTCTCGGAGCTCCCATGAGACGCTGCCCCAGGCGGGGGCCATTCCCGATCTTGAGGTTTCTGGCCGGCTTGGACAGCTCCTCAGACCCTCTGCGCGTTTAAAGTTTAAACCCAACGGCCTGGCCGTGGCAGCAACCGTTCGAGCCAGGCAGCGCTGAGGGAGTCGCTTGACGTCTTGGCCCATTGCCATCTATCTAATTCCTTCTGAACTCCTCGCTCCAGAGGCGTTAACGACTTTCTCTTTTTTACAGGTCTTGATGCGTCACCGATCCAGCCGTCCTTTGTTCTGCTGCCTGTTGGCTGCTCCTGGTCACCGCGCTCCTCTTTCACAGCCCTGCAGAGTGTTTTTAACGCGCTACAACGACGCTCCCTTGGTTCCTGCTTCCATCCTCAACTGAACAAACAGCCCTAAACCGCTGGCGTGCCAGTAAAGCTTCCCGTTTAACTGGAGACGCAGCTGCATTGTGCTATATGGGATGACTGTCTGCACCCCTTTGAAGATCCTAGATGTGCCCATGGTGAGGGGAGCCAGGGTGAGACTTCTACAAAAATGTGTGGGGAGTCAGCTTCTGGCTTCTCACCCGTGGTTGCCATTCAGAGCAGTTCCTCAGGGGTTTGCACAGTACCAGGCATGTCGGGGGCAGGACTGCGCTGCCATTATAAACGGATCTTCCTTGGGAACTTGCAGTCTTGACCCCGTCCTTGCTGTGAGGCTGAGAGGACATCTTGCACCTGGACCTCATCGGAGTTTCTCCTGGAAGAGGATGGAGAACTCCCGCCGCCCTCTCCTCATTCAAGCATCGGCGCGAAGTCTCAGCCGGCAGACTCGCTGCTCGCCCCTCTCGGCATCGAGGCCGTTACATCCCCGCACCGGCCCTGCTGCTCTCTGCACCGTTTAAGGCGCAGTCGAAAACACAAATCGCTCTGCCCCTGTACCGGGTCTCAGGCCATTTCCACACCAGGCAAGTCTTGTGGGTCAGGCCTGTTCCACGTTGTCACATGCGCAGCCAGGCAACCCGTCTCTTAACGAGCAACAGCCCGCAGCGCCAGCCTCGGGAAAGCACGGCGGAGTTGGCTGCAGCCCTGCAGCAGCTACATTTCATCAGGATTAAAACTCAAAGTCTCACTCTCGCACACCTGGCGTTTGCCAAAACCCCCGCCTGAACGCTGGGGCCATCTGGTCTCCGCCGCGGCCTTGGCGAGCAGGAAGCCCTTACTGCTTGTGGCCAAGAGCGGGCTGTTAATGGCATTTACATGTAACCCCAACCCGCCAGGTCCTCGCAAGGACGGGAGGTGCTACTCAAAAGCAGCCAAAGGCCAATAGAGGAGGCACTTACCATTTTTGGGCCCGAGCCCTGCTTTTACACCCTAAATGATTCCAGAGATGCCGCAGAGGAATGGGATTTCCAAGTCCACGTTCAAACAGCAGCCAACCACATCAGCTAAGAACAACACGGGAACGTTTCCCTGGGCCGAGATCACTCGGCACCGCGGCGGCCGGGCGCAGCGGGGACGGCTGTCAGACGGCTCGAGAGCTGGCAGGGGAAATAAACACTCGTCGCAGTGCTCCCGGCCCCCGGCTGTACGAGGCTATCGGCTGTCCGCCCAAACGCCCGCAGCAGGTGCCCCCAGTGGCAGCGCGGCTGGGAAACCGCTGCCACTAATGGCTGCTTTCCATTGGCACGTGCACAATGCATTGATCCGTGCCCGTGATCTAGCAGGCAGGCGTCCGGGCCGCGTGCCCCCGCGTGCCAGGATCGCCTCCAGCGGGAAGGTCCCAGGCAGCCGGGTACTGGGGGGGCACTTCCACTGCAACCCCCTCCGGCAGCAGTGCTGATGTGTTTTGAACTTTCCATTGGCACATGCACAATCCTGCTCCTGACACCAGCTGACCCTCGACGTCCTCCTCCCCGGGCTGGGCTGATCTTGCAAGGAGTTTGCTTGCTTGATTTTGCTTTTTTTGGGGTGACTGGCTCTTTAAATTTGGCAGAGACTGGAAAGTCCGAAGTGGTCATTTTTGCACCTGGCTGCTCCTCCTCTTTCCTGCAGCTGGTGAGACCCTGGGAGTTGATATATTTTCCCTTCTTATGGCATTGCCCATAATACAGCTTCATGGGGCAGCTGCTGTGACATCCTTGAGAAGGCCTGGGGGAGGAGAGGACGGAGCAGAGCTGGGGCCCCGGCTCAGGCTCCTTCAAGAGACTTTCAGGCAGGTGAGGTGCAGAAGGGGGGTGCTCTGAAGGCCGGGGCGCATGACGTGGTGTATGATATGGCACGGGACATCCCTGTCCTTCCCTCTGGGGAGCAGCTGTGCTTTTGTGTCTATTCTAGGAATCTACAACTCTGTTTTGGCATGTTAAGGCAGAGGGACTTATTGCTGATTTAAACTAGGGTGAGGTTTAAATAGAAAGGCCAATGTACATGCTTGTGCTATTGCAAACACTGCTTGATATTGTAATGAACCCACCCGAGTGCTGTTCCTGTTCCTTGGGAAGGTGGCTTGAATTTTACAAAGCTGGTACAGGGGAAGGGGAAGAAGGGGGGGAAGCTACCGAAAGCAAAAGCCTTGACCTGCAAGCACAAAGCTGATCGACCTTAGTCCTATGACCAGCCCCACTGACTTCAGTAGGGCTGCCTGTGAGCTTGAAGTCGACCCTGCGTGAGTCTGCTGTAACGGGGCTGTGGTGGGGAAGTTTGCTCTGTTTTTCCTAATGGCGCAGCCTGTCAGGACAACTGAGATGCTAGCTCTTCTGATAAGACAGAAGCTGGCACAGACACCTGTGTGCACATCAAGGCCACCTTCTTCAAATGCAAAAGCCTCAAGTTGGGTTCCTGAATCCAAACGTGTGCTCCTGAGGCTGGACTGGTCAGTGCCTCTTGCAGCTGGTCCTGTGCATCCAGCCCCGAAAGAGAAGCCTGCTCCAACTAATGCCGGTGGGTGCTGATGGCTGATGCAGTCTGCCCTATCTGCTTGTGTGCTGAGGCTAGGGGTGTTTCCCCAGGAAGGGTGTTAATTGGTCTCGGGGGTTGCCTCTTTCAACACAGCTGAGCATTTTTAAGTGTAAAACTTCTTATAGGAAAAGCAACCTCCCCCTCAAGTCTGAAACTGTGCTATGGCTTACAGAACTAAAGACACAAGTACAAATTGCCCACACCAGCAATTCAAGACCGAACAAAGCTAAATATAATATGAAGCCTGTAAGGTAGGGCCCCTCCACACTCCTCCTGTTCTGTGCCATTTCTCCTGTTTCTTTCAGCTGGGCTGGATTTCCCCTTCCTGAAGGATAATCTCCTCTTTGCCTGATTTAACCTCTGGTGCCCTGCTGTGTACCCCTGTACCTGCTCTGCGCAGGGCCTCCACCCACTCCAATAGCCTCCAGGTTACATAGGAATATACTTTCTTCTT